ATCAATATAATATAGTGAATATTCAATGAAACGTATAATAATGTTATTTCTTTAAACCTAGTAACTATGCATTTGATTCTTTCTTTTACAAAGTACCATGTAGTTCAACTATGTATCGATCTTAATAGATTTTACTGAAAGCATATAGAGTTCATTCTCATCCCGTTGTATTAATCTCTTCTTTCTTTCAAAACGACAGATAATCAGTAACATTATATCAAATACCATAATGATTGTCACACTCACCAGAACAATTCACCTGAAGTTGATTAAAATAAAACAGGTGTATCAACCAATAATCAGTTGATTTATGATTAACTTTCGAAATTTATACGATAAACAACTAGTTACTCATAAGTAGTACAGTTGTATTTTTTTCAAACCTCAAATTGGTTTCTCTTGAATGTCGATGTAATTAACTATGGGATACCTCTTCAGATTTATTTCAGCAAGTATAGTCACGTTTTGTGATTATTGAAATATGTGTTTAACACCTCAACATTTATTTACATAATGAATGTAAGTAAGAGGGTAACAAGCCGCGCCAACCATTCGAGCCTAAGTTAGCTCAGTTGATAGAGCATCAGACTTTAACAACGTTCCACTGCATGACGGTGTTCTATTGCCTTGTGGATTAGACCTTTAGGTCAAAGGCTTCGGATATGGCACCCTAAAAAACCACCCCTTTAGGCACCCAGACAGCATCCCATCCCTCACACAATTCGAGTGCTTTATGTGACGTATATCTATTTGGTGCCTCCTTGTACCAATGTTTATGTGTTTAAATAAATGAATAATAAATGCAAGTAATTCAATTCATTCTGTAAATGTATATATTTCTCCGTTGTTGACGTTAAGGACAGCAAGTTATTAGTTTCTGTAAACATATGTGCATTCTGAGCACATCGCCGCTATACAGTCTAGTCATCAGTTTCTATTCTATATGTGTTATGTGAGTAACAGTGTAATTCAAATCAGAAGACTTGGTAGAATTGAAACGTAGTCGGTTCCAGTCTCAGTGTGAATATTAACATTGAGATGTGAATACACTCAAGTGACGAACCTTATAGAAGATAAAATGTCGTTCAAGACCCAACTATTAATCCCATATCAAAATGATACTTTGAAACTGTTAAGACTTTTGTAAAAAATTCACAACATTTTATCATTCATTATAAATAATCAGTTTTCTATGAACATTTGACTGGAAAGGTTGGTAGATTACAGACTTTAAAAAAAATGAAGAAACATTATAACTTATGAGAATTAATACTGGGAGTCAAAATACGTAATCCAAATGAATTTATTAACTAAATAAGAATGAACTTTTTTCAAAATAATAATTCCTTAATTGCTTTGAACTGATTTCATTGAATATGTCAGCTACTATAAGCAATGATGGATGGTGATTAGCAGTAGAATCAACGAATCGCGTTTCATTCTATTAGGGACTCGTCAGCTTGATATACCTGCATCCTAGAGTTCACTTGAAGAATTGAACTCAGTACCGTTCGCTTCAAACGTCATCACGTTATCCACTTAGCTACTGAGTCCTGATAGCCAATTGCTTGTGATTGTGTGTCAGGCACTTTTACTGGAATTATTTAAACTAGAAAATATAAATAATTTAATGTATCATTCAGAGACTTTATAATTCACATTGAAATCCAATCATTGATATAATCTCTAGTCTCATTTATTCATGAATAGATGCTCCTAAGGATTAACAAACTTAAGTAGAAATACAAATCAGTAAACTGATAATATGTATTTGTTTAATGGGAGATAGACTAATCCTGAATTTAAAATCACTGATAACTACTTTGAGTAGGTGAAGTGCCAACTTTGCCAGGTAATGCTACAATTTGACTGACAATTGAACTTGAAGATGATTCTGTAACGTAATTGTTAGATCTTACGAATAGTAAATGAATGGTAACTACTAGGAACCATGTATGGACTGTTATTATATATATATATATTCTCACTGTATAACTGTTAAGTAACTAGATTATATATATTTATATTTCTTTTATTATAAGCTTTCATTTAACCTAGTGTCTATTATTATACGATTTACTATTTTTAAGTTATTCCCGATTTATTAGTTACAGTCTCTCACACTCACAGCCACTTTCGGCTTGATCTTGTATAATTGTTATTTTCTATTTTATGGTATGATTTGTTCTGGTTTGCTTGTATATTAACCAAGTATGTCTGAAATATATGATTCAAGCAGTGGAATCCGAGATTGTGTTCTGGACTCAAACGTACTCTGCTAGGTGAGATGAACCAATAAGGACTCATAAATGACTTCTCGTACCAGTTAACGCATCACTGGTTTGGTACAGTGCCAAGGTCATATAAGTCGGTGTTCTAATAGATAGTTTTGTCACGTGATAACTAACAGGACATAGGAACATACCAGTAATAGTCCCTATATATTAATCGATGGCAACTGTTATATTTTATAGTTGACAACGACAACTGACAAAAAGGGGAGGGAGGGAAATTTAAAACTAAGAAATGCTGGACACTTGTTACATCAAAGTCTCAAACTCCTCAACAGTGTTACTTGAAACCTAACCAAAGGTTGATCCTAAGACCCTGAAGTCTTCAACTGACCACTTCACCTTTAAACCCCTAAGTTAACTTTCAACTGTATATTTTTTTCCTAATCCATAATGTAAACTAAAACGTTTGCATCAATTTAGTTCTATTTATCAATTACTAGTTTTTTTTCTTATTCAATTACAATAACTAAACAGTTTAACTACACGATAGTAAACTTGCACAAATTAATCTATACATAAATGTTGACTTAAAACCATACTATCAATTGTGGTTACCTTTTTTTCTCACTAACTCTATTCAACTATTTATTCACAAGTGAATTTCGATAAATTTTGTCAACTTATTTCAAATTAATCTCGCGCGCGAGACTGAAAGGTCTTAGGTTCAAATCTCGTGAGGCGGAATCATGGATGCGCACTGCTGAAGATTCCCACAATAGGACGAAATGGTTGTTCATATTTTTTTGTTTTAAATTGTTATCATTGAAAAGAGGGACTTTGGCAGCCTGCTGAATAGATTTATTTTTAATAGTTAAATTCATGAGTCGATGTAAACTGGATCACCATTGAAAAACTGAAATTACTGGACAGCAGTTTCGTCCTGATTTTTGAATCCCTAGAAGTGCATATCTACGACCCTGCAAGTGGGACTCAGACTTGGGACCTTGAGTCTCGCGCAAGAACGCTAAAACTGTAGATCATTGAGGCGGTATTCAACAGTGTTAATGTCTAACTTAAACCAATCCACGATATTGCACCACTGTCCACCATTATCTTTAGTGAGTAACTGTTTCTACAATACACATGGTTGAACTCCATTGGTCACGGCTTCTCACTAGAACTCGAGGAAAGACCTCATGAAACCAGTCACTAGTGAGCACATGAAAATTATTATCAGAAAGAGGGTTTTGTGGATATTGTAGCAATTTTTAATAGTTGAATTGATAATTCGATCAAAGCTAGACCACCATGAAAAAACCTGGAAACACTGAATGACTGTTAGATGTGTACTGCTGAAGAGTCCCATACTAGGACAAAACGGTCGTCCATTACCTCCAATTTTTTTATATTGATCAACTCATAAATTCAACTAATAAAATTTACCACAATATTCACTGAATAACAGAAGAATTAATGAAATAGGAACATCGTAAAACAAATAGACAAAGATTTTCATGCCTAACTATCTCCGATATCAGATTAACACAAGGATCCAGAAATATAAACTACTTTTAAATAATGCCAAATTTTTGAAGCTATTCAAAGTGATATAGATATTATTACCACAAGAACAGATATTACTGTCAATATCTTTTCAACTATGATCAACGTCCAACATGATAGGACTACTTGCTAAGAAATGTTTTCAACTTTACATTAAGGTCTTATGATCATTTCAACTTTAACCTGATTGAATATCTGGGCTACGTATTCCTGCCATCTAAATATTTCAATAAGTTATCTATTTTTCTGTTTGTTTCAACACATCATTATGCTTATTAGTGTCATAACCTGTTCAGGTGAATTTGTGAAACATTTACTACATTTCGTTGTACAACTTACAAAAGAGCCTAATCAGAGACATCGTGGTTTCTGGCAATATGCATCGAAAACAATAGACATTATTCAAATATTGATTCTTGAACTGCTAATATCTAAGCTGGCGATCAATCAATATTTATCGTCAAGATCGATCAAGAAATAATAAAAGGAAACATGTTGAAATACTTCGCGCTGAGAATTCTATATTGGACCAAAAATATGGTATTGAATAAAGCCACCAATAGTAATAATAATAATTGTTGAACTAACATAATATTTGGTCAACTTACAACCTATTACCAATAGTGATCATTGTTGTGACTTTATGTCCGGCTTTTTCTCACGTGATTTATCCATCAATCAAAATACGATTTATACAATCTTAGCACTGTGACAAACAAATGACGTTCGACCGATATGAGCAGCCTAGCGCCCTTATTGGTCCTATGTCCACCTAGTCCGTCCACTTGAACCCAGAACACCAATACCAGTTTCCACTATGCTAATCGAATCGAATCGAATCATTTATTTCAAACATACTCGGTTTATATATCCACCAAATAGACCGCAATGCACCATAAAATAGGAAATAACATTTGCACGCAATAAAGCCAAAAAGTGACTGTAAACGTGGGAGACAGTAGTTAATAAACTGAACATAGTAGCTTCAGAACCGTAAATCGTACAATAATAAATTATAAGTCGAAATAAAGCTTACAGTAAGAGGAATATAAATATACATAATCTAATTATTGAATTGTTATACCATAAGAATGTATAGATAATATTAGTCAACTAATATGTCTCAGAAGTTACTCGTGATTTAATCTTCATTCGGATATAACAATCATAATACTATTCTTTATTCTTCTGTTTATATTTCAGATTGGATCCACAAAACCTGATGCATTAGCTTTACCATATTTCGCTAAAATGACAGAAAATAAACGATTTTCAAAATTCCACTATAATACTACTACTAGTACTACTACTAATAATAATAATAATAATAACAATATTGCTATGTCTGCTGAAGTAATGCGTTCCGATTCACCAAAATCATTAGCTTCATTAATAGATGCATTGAAAACTATACATCCATTACTTCATAACTTAAATGAGAATCATATCCCTTCATCATTAACCAATCATGATAATAATGAAAACTCGAAATTATTCATTCATTGTTTATCAGAATATTTATTCACATGTATGAAATTGCGTTCATTAGATTTAAAAGGTGAATTTGTTACATTCTTATTTCCATTAAAACATTTCAATGAACAATTATGGAATAAATATGGTACAATTGATGATTGGAATGAATTATCTGTTGTTTGTGAACCGAATACAAACTATGAATATGTTGTATTGGTAAATTGTTTCTTTATTTCTTGATTGTTTGTTTGTTTTTGTTTTTTCTTACATTTGATAAACTTCAATGAAGATTAGTCTCTGATGGAATCCAGATGTTCATCAGTGACTTATTTGTAGAGTTATTTCAAAGACTTGTAGTAAGAAGTAAAGGTCATTTGATAAACTTCAATAAAGGTTAGTCTAATGGAATCGAAATCAATTCGACTAGTTTCAGAAATCTGCAAGTAAGAAGTAAAGGTCATTAGTATCTATCTATTTCAGCTTTGAGGTATTTACCTACCAAATGATATATGGAGATGTTTGCATAATATTACAGATTGATCAATTTGAGTATGTAAGCCAATAGATGTTGGTTCAATGGTTAAGTGAACACCAGGAGATTCTTGATTGGTTTATAGACTGTCAATAACGAAAAGCTCTATGCGAAAACAAAACAGTTATTATCTAGTGCTTTCTGATTTCAGTAGTTGTATAACAGAAGTTAGTTCATGATGTCAGTTTTTTGGCTATTTGAATTATTACTGTAACACATGAGTGAGTTACATGCATTGAATGACATATAACTAAATATAAATAAGCATACACTTGGTATTGTTCAGCTTGTATCTTCCCATTGAGGTTTAATACTGCAATTGATCAGTATGTGATTGGCATATGTGCATACTGTGCGTATGCCTCGATATTGCCTTAATTCACAAGCTTTTTGTAAGCAATGATGGATAGTGGCTAGCAGTGGAATCCAGGACACAAGTTTCGTCATATTTGGGACTCGTCAGCTGGATGTACCTGCATCTGAGAGTTGATGTTCACTCTGGGACTCGAACCCAGTACCATTCTCTTGAAACGCCATCGCGTTATCTACTTAGCTACTGAGTCCTGATAGCCACTTGCTTGTGCAACGGGGTGAATTTGAATTCACTTGGTATTGTTCAGCTTGTATCTTCCCATTGAGGTTTAATACTGCAATTGATCAGTCTCTTATTGGCATATGTGCATACTGTGCGTATGCCTCGATATTGCCTAATTCACAAGCTTTTTGTAAGCAATGATGAATAGTGGCTAGCAGTGGAATCCAGGACATCAACTCTGAGATGCGGGTGCATCCAGCTGACGAGTCCCAAACAGGGCGAAACGCGCGTACCGAGTATGGATAGTTTTTTCTTCACCCCATTGTATTATGTTTCAACCAGTTACGAAAACACTGGAATATAACATCTGATCTTTTGTCTCTGAAGATTTATTATATATATACACTTTATCTTAACCACTTTCCATCACTCTAATAATGACTGTAAACAAACAAAATTGAATGATATGCGCTATTATTCATCCAAAGGATGTAAAATTAGATATCAAGATCTACGGTTGACTAAATTACTCATAACTCGATGCTTTTTTCACATGGAATATAGTCAACGTATTGAAAATCGATTAGCCGATAACATTGAAAATAATAAAATAAAATAAAAAACATTTATCAGTGTTTCCACGTTTTCAATGGTGATCTAACATTGATCCATTATTGATATGAATCTAAAAATACATTTATATCAAAACATTCATGCACTAGACAAAAACTGAGCCTTCACCAAATGAAATTCAGATAATATTTTCGTAAATAATCAACTGTCCAAATATCAGTAAAGCTGAAATATAAAGGCGAGCCAATCAGGTGTGATCAGATCACTTCAGAGTCACAATGTATAAACCGGAACTCAATATCGTCAATCGAACTTAGATGATCCACTTCAATGAATAAAATATGATTAGGTAATTTATGTTAGAGTTAGAAATATGATTTAGACTTTTGGATTTGGTTTGAGAACCGGAAGTTAGATTGAGGCCTAGTATTAGGATGAAGGTTAACCGAAAAACCAATCCTAATATTAAATCTTAACAATAAATCTTGAACTATAATCTAAACTGTAAATCTAAATTGTCGATCCTACATCCTGATGCTGGCTTTAAGTTCTAATCATAAATCCTCACTCTGAATGCTAAAACCAAACCGTTGCATCCTAAAGCCAAATCATAGCTTCAACCCTCGTTACAAAAATGCTCTAGGCAACATTTAACTACTTATAAAGAAAAAAGTAGTTAAACAACAAGACAATAATAATTACGTGTATATTTTTATTGATATAACTTTTTGAATTTTTTTTGATGTAATACAGAATACAGCCAACGAATCTTCACAAAAAATCAGATTTCCTAAAAAAACAATCGATAAACTATTAACAAATTGGTTAGATAATCAAACTACAAAAACACCTTCACCAGGAAATCGACATTCATTGGAAAGCAAAAATAATACAGAGAAACATTCAGATGATAAATTACTTCATTCAATTAGTTTAGCTGTAACCTTGAAAACTTTGTTAAATTTATTTGAAAAACATGAAAAAGTAGAAAGTGATGAACATCATCCTCATCAAGAACAACAACAACAACAACCACAACCATGTGTAGATCTATTTCTAACTTGTATTAAACTTAATGTACTACTAAGTTTAAGTGAATGTTTAGATAAAAATAAATCAATCCAATTTAACTTAAAACCAGAACATATTTTACTTATATTAACACCATCTAATTGTTTAACAATATTTAAACATTATGAAAAAATACAAAATAATAAACAAAATGAGAAACCAGCTAATACTGATGATGATAATCATAATGAGACTCATGATCTACAATCATTATTAAAAATAATGAATATTCAATATGATTCAATGAATGAAAGTATCAATGATTTAATCAAACAATTATATGAAATTATACAACATAAATATCAATATTCCGATATGATTACATCATTATTGAAATCAGTTGCACCACCAGATTGGATAACAATGTGTGTAGCTAGAATATGTTTATATAATCAAACGAATTCATAGAAATTCAATTCAATGTTAATGTCATGATTATATACTTTCTCATATTTATAGTAAATAAATGAATATCCCCTAAATACACTTTCAGTCATACCTATAACAACCCATTTCGTATATATATACATATATATACACACACACACTCACACATAAATACATACACACATGGCAACAAAATTGATCTTATTTTAAACAAAACGGAATGAAAATGAAGAAAAAAAATTTGTTTTCTGTTATTTCGTTGATAAGTACCAAATATTTTCTTTTCTTTTCTTTTTTGTTTTTACACCCCCCCCTCAGGTTATCTATTATCCATACCGACTATTGATGAGTAGATTGTTTAATGTTTAAGTTGTGTTGCCATTTGTTTTTTTCCTTTATTGTTATTGTTGTTGTGAACAGAAATGAATGTTTCATTATTTGTTATAATGTTACTACTTATATACTCATAATTGAATATTTTTTTGATTTCTGTAACATTTTCGACAAAAAGAAAAATTTGACTAATCAAATTTATTTTCTATGATTGATATTAGTTGATTGGAAAAATTGTGGTAATAATAACAATATGATAGTTATTATTACTATGGATTGAATATTATTCATAATTATCATTCTTTCTATGACTTTTTATGCTGTCAAGCTTATGTGCTTATTGAAAAGTATTATACATATACTACTAATATGCTACTTATTAATATTAATAATTTGCTTATTTAAGAATCAATTTTGATGCAATAGTAGTAGTGATAGTATTAGTAGTAGTAATAGTAGTAGTAGTAGTAGTCATGTTGCTTTTCAATTACTCTTGTCAATGATTTTCATTTTGAAGGAATAATGTATGTTTGCTTATAATAAAATGAAATATATACCATATATGATTATTTTGTAATGAAAAAGAAAATTAAATTTTGTTTAGATAAACAATTTACTACTGTGTATTACGGGTGTATATGTATGTGTTTATTGTTCAAGATGCTTTAGTATGAGATATATTTATATAACTATCTGGTTATTTCGAACATTTGATTTAACGTACTCAATGGGTAGTTGGAGAACCTGGAAGCGCTGGACGGCCGTTTTGTTTTATTGTGGGACTCCTCATCACTGCGCATGCACAATCCCGCTTACGGGATTCGAACCCATCAAACTTATTAGTCTCCACAACACCTATCCTCAAAATTATCATGTGCTCACTGGTGAATAGCTTCGTGAGGGAATTCTCGGAGTTCTAGTGAGAAGCCGTGACTAGTGGAGGTGATCTGTGTCGGGTAGAGACAGGTATCTACCTCAGTAAAATGGAAGATGGTCGCGCAATCTCGTGGATTGGTTGAGGTTAGACATTAACACCGTCGGATGCTGGTTCAGTGGTCCAGTAGGTTAAGCGTTTGTGAGCGAGACCGAAAGTTCTGTGTTCGAACCCCGAGGGCGGGATCGTGGATGCGCACTGCTAAGGAGTCCCACCATAGGACGAATCGGCCGTCGAGTGCTTCCAGTGGTGGTTTAACATCAATCGGTTCATGATCGCAATCAAATACTTTATTATTGTTCGCGAAATTATTGTATCCAAAGGTTAGAGACTTCGGTGACCTGACTTATTATTAATCGCGATGGTGAAATTGCGTTCCCCCAGTGTCTTCTATCAGGCTTCCAGTTTTAAAATGATCTTATACATATTGTTCCGCGTTCATTTTTTCCATACCTAAGCTTCCCTAAAACCACTGATAGTATTGCTACTTAAACTACTATGAAGTTGCTTTTGATAATTAGATCTCATTATCATTCTCGCACATACATCAATAACTGAATGCTTTAGATTGCGTAAATTCTTTTTAGATCTTTTTTTAATACTTAATTCAGTAAAATATAGTAAGTTTGATGTTCTTGGTTGAATAATTATTTTGAAAGACTAATTTGTCCACATCATGACCACAGTCAGTAGTAGTGTAGTGAACAGAACATGAGTGGGGACAATCGAATGTATTTAACACAAAATTACAGGACTTGTTAATAAAATCTAACAATCATAATGTAAATGTTTAATTTGCAAAATGTCCATCGATTGTCTCAGACTTCATTGTTCTTGCATTTTCATACAAATTGCATCCTATTTCCATTCTTTACTGTTCGATCCTCTTGTCTCTCTGCTTCCAGACCTTCTGTTCACGACTAACATCATATGCTACTTATGCCAATATAAGTAGCACACACCACGGTAGTACCTCTGAAAACGTCCTGTCCTTTTAGTCTAAGCTTCTACGAAATGTTGCTCATATATGCAATCACTAATTCTTCTTTCTGTTCGTCCAGTGTATATGTTCTGGCACGTACATGTAAATTACGTGATACAATTAGAGATAGTATGAGTCTAAATTTATCATGCTTAACTCGAGACCTGAAAAATCCCTCAGTTCATTCTTATATGTGCCTTTTCAAAACAGTTAGCTTCGAATTAGGATATAACTACTAATCCGAGCTCTTTATTTTTCAGTGGCCTTATATTTGATGAATAAATATAATGAAAATTGAACAAATCTTTGACAAGCACCCAAACGAAAATCATATAGCTGAAAGATGCTCTGTACTAAGTGACAAAGTCTGTGAACGATGTAACAAAGCAAAGCGATATGACAACAGGAACTGATCTGGACTGACAACACATGAATCAACAACAAAATCCGTCGTTAGTGTGAGGTTGTGAAGACTGTTGAGTCTGAATGGGAAGATGAACCGATCCACGTTAGGAAAACATTGACAACCCTGCGGCATTGGACAGTCGTCTCATTCCAGTATGGAACATCTCTGCAGAACACACATCACACGAGCTCAGGACCTTCGTTCTCGAACTTCCGAACTACCTAGTCAGGACAGTCTAGCTTTAACCAATCCGTAACACTGTACGACCAACTCTCGTTGTTTTCGGTTCCTGGCTGCGAGCTCGCGGATGATGCGCCGTAATAGAATGAGACGACCGTCAATTGCTCGCGTGTTTCTAATAACTGTCCATCTTAGATCGGTCCTCAATTTCAATGAAATCCCACCATTATCCGCGACACATTATGCCTTACTTGTAACAAAGCTACTAGATAGTTGTTCTAGTTCAAGACTCATCATCATAAAAGAACCGGACGAGTCCACTGTTGACATAGGAAAGCCGTCCCTTCTGTTTGTTCGCAATTAGTTACTTTCCGGAACACTAAACAAATGGACTAGTGAATTCATTCTACAAATTCAAGTCCTGTCATGATTTGCTGTCTCTAGCCTTTGATGTGCAAGACTAAGATGAAGCCACCGCCCCCCTGGTTAGTGGAAACACTACTTAGAACCAAATCATTCAATAGTGCATTGTCGTTATTCTGTTTGTTTCCCTGTAGTGAATTGTTAATTTCAAATTTTGTCCCTAACTGTCTACCCGATGATCACTTTGGTTTAGCATTTACCTATCATCTCATTTTAATTCAATAAATAATCTAGATGACAAGTAGGTTTTTTGATCTTACACACATAAATTACGTCGAACAAGAAATATCACTACCACTACACACTCAGTATGAAGACGTAAACAGTACCACCATCCAGGAGCCCACTTCTACGTATGTAAAATGAATGTAGGTTTATTTGCTTAAGCTATCACCTTACAGTTTAACACAATCAATTACTGTTAGATGGTTAGACATATTTGGCAGGAAACCCTGTTAGAATTTTAATAAGGTTTACCTGTAATTCTGAGGATCTAATATTCTCTTTGTGAGATTAGAGAGTATATCACAAAACTTTACTGCTCAGCCATTCAAACCACCATCGACTTCTCGTAAACTGAGTATATGGTAAAGTTATATTTGTCTAGCTTTTTCTAGTATAAATCGATGAGGTTGTAGAGCGGTCTTAAGTGCTGTTAGAGGTATGAGGGCGGTTATCACTTCCCGGTTGCCCACACCGTGGAAGGGTTCTTCTGGAGGTGCCTGAAAAGGAAATTGGATTAGAGGTGGTCTTAGTGACCTGAAAGCGTGACCGCAGTGCCCAAGGGACAATTGATTGAGGTCGGTCACACACGACCTTTTTATGGGTAATTTTTGTGTTAGCTCCGTACTTGTTGAGACCTTACCGCCGGAGACGGATATCCGTGGGGCAAGGTGAGGTGCGCATTTTTAGGGTCGACCTTTTCTAACCCCACCCCTCCTTGTGGGAAGGCAGCATCGCTGTCATGCTGGTTGTCTGAAGGAAGCGCCTTACTGCTGTCACATCTCTATACAGTCAGCAGTACGACTTCGCCTTCAGACCTTATGTTTGTTGCTTTTAGTCTTACCGCTCTTCAACCGACCTGTCTGATATGGTAGGACCTTGAGGAACGGTTGTTCCAGCCAGTACAGCTCGGTTGCTTCATCAAGATAGGCAAGCCCGACCACCACGTCAAGGTAGCAACAATGGTCGGGTACTGTGGTCACACTGATTAAAGGAATTAAATACAGCGTGCACTATGCTGAGAAGTTAGATTCGAAGACATAGAACAACATTAATCAAAATGAAATCAAAAAAAGATCCTTAAAAATTCTCATGTGCATGTGTTCGTTTATTTTTTGTTGCCAATATGTCCTATGGAAACAAAATTTGAGTCAACGCAAGTACAAATGTGTAAAACTTTTGACAAGAAAAATAAATTATTCGCAATAAAAATAACTTTAGTTGTTATTATCTTTGTTTTCATTGTCTGAATAGTAGTATTAGTAGTAGTATATATGTAAAAAAAAGAGGAAAAATTAAATCCTTTACAAATTCAAAACAAAACTAACTAGAACAGAAGATCCCATAATTGAAAACATCAATGGATGGCTAAATAGACAATTAAAATGAGCAATAGTAAAAATAATAATAAACGAACAAACAGAAAAGGAATGTCAGTGAATGATTATGGTTTTGTATATAAAATATCATAAATCGTTTTAACAACCAATAACTGCTTGATGAAATAAGCAGATTAGAAGGATGTTTCCTGTGAAAAACTAAAATGAGAACAAGAAAAATAAAAGTGATCAATGTCAAAATTGTTTATAGAAAACTAAAAACGAGCATAAATGAAGTTCACTTTACAATCTTTTAATACGAATAATTATGATAACGATGAGGTGCTATGTTTTACGGTGTAGGAGTAGATTGGAAGAAAGCTAGAGGCGGCCAGACCAAAACATGGCACAAGTCCATGAAGTCACTGACAAGTGCACTGAGTCATGTTGGTAGGTGTAGACTACTTAGTTGGGGACCGCGAGATGATAGCAACCGATGGTTAGAGACCCTGAATGAAATGGCTCAAAATCGTTTGCAATGGCGCAAGTGCATCCACTCTTTGTGTTCTCCCACATTCTAATCTTCTGAATTCTTCATGTCCCTTATTTTCTTTCCAAATTTATTTCACTGTATTATACTCCTGGAATAACATCTTGAAGCCTTAATGTTTCTGATTGCTGCTTATACTCTTACTACCTCTACCACTACGGGATTTGAATGGACAACTGCATCTCTGTGCTAATGTGCTATGGCAACTCGAACTGATGTACGTACGTACGAAGTTCTACGTTGTTACTGACTGACTGACAACATAGTACAAGTGAACCGATAACAACGTGTTAAACTCAAGGTCTAGGGGTTACATCGTCTAAAACCATGTAGCCATAAATTAAATTTATAGAATGAGTCTTAAACCAAGAAGTGTACGTCTTTTAGTACTCACCAAACGACTTCATCAACTGATGCTACAACTTTGTTTGATCACACCTCAGTTTTATCCAAACATAGGTCACAACTAGATTAATTGGTGAAAATCCAAGAGATTATCGATCGGTTTACTATCCTTACATAACGGCCTACGTGTAACACAGAAAATGCTCACTCATTTGTTCTATTATGCGTGAGAAATCCCGATATAGTATACCTCAAAAGGTTATACTTCACAACAACATAATAGTAATACAGAGTTAACTGCACTAAATATGGGCTTAAATTGCAAAGACATCAAACAAA